TACTAACTCTAAATGTAATATTATTTTTTTATATTAATTATACTTGCATAATATAAATGATTCAGTTGCATTTATTACATATATTTCTCCCCAAAATATAAAGAAATGAGAATGTCAAACAAAATTATGAGTAAAACATCCAGTAATAAGATTTAACTTAGAAAATCTTTGTAATTGTCTTTTAAAATAATGGCAAAGTGCAAAAATAATCTTAATAGTAGGTTAAAAAGCCCTCATATTCTATATTAAAATTGTAATAATTTAATAATAATTCTAATATTTATTATTAAACAGTATTATTGTCAGAATTCCACCAGCTTCACTCACTCCTCCCACTCGTTCACAGTCCCCTGAGTTTTAATCACCATCACCTGCACCTCATCAGTTCACCTCCTTATATATTCAACTCCCGAACAAATATGACCAGAACATGTTTTTCGTCACAATCGCTCTGCGTAGGAAGTGTGAAGTTGCTCATTTAAGACAATAAATGTGGGGCAAATGTAAAGCAACAGCAGACAGCTGGCCATGAGCAACCTGACACCAAGCGGACGCTCAACTAATCAGGAGAGGGAGACAGAGATGAGTTTAAAGAGACGGCTAGAGAGAAAAAGGATGGAGTCAGACACAGGACGGCATTAGTTTACGGTAGCCCTGCTGTTGAAATGAAACCGAATAGTAATCTCAGCCACGGCGAGCAGTTTATTTCAGTTCTTAATGGCAGGCATCTCACGTTTGGCACAGATGCTGTTTGGCTGTAAAGGGGCCCTCCAGTGCTGTTTCCAATCCGACCACCTGAGAGTGGAAGCCGGAGGGGGCACCAGGGAAGCCCCATAATGATTTTATGAGGAGTGGTCTATTGAGTTAAAGCATCAGAGATGGAAAAGGGTTCCAGCAGTGTGTGTGTGTTTATGTTGGGGGGTTATCGTGCCCTAGGGCCACTACTGGGGCGGTCAGAGAGCAGGTTATGTCTGAATGTGTGTGGGAATGGGACGATCTGTGAAGGTCATTCTGACCACAGCGTGAAGTGAGACTCAGCTGTGTGATGCAGATGAGTTTCAATTTGTCTGTCCGACCTGTATCATGACATATAACAGGACCTGGGGTCCTTTTGCACCATTTGTTTGCACCAACTGTTGCTGGATTGCAATACTCTGGTTGGCCTTGCTGTTTAAAACTTTTAAACCACTATTCAGAAAGTCCAAGTATTTGTCTATGCTTTTGTATAAACTGAATTAATTAGCTTTTTTAGCACACTGACACGATTCATGATATCTTTTTTATTGTGAGGTAGAAAATTGACTTTACCTAATCTAATCACTAAACTAAGCACTTGCTAAATGGCTTTGTGTCATTTAGCAAGTGCAAGCTATAGCTTAACTATAACTCACTGAATTTAAGAGACCAGCTAAACAAAATAAACTATATAAAAAATGTATATATAATTTCAATTTTTTTCATTATTTACAAGGTGTTTATGTAGAAATTGACAAATTGAACTCTAGATAATATGCGTTGGATCTAAAAGTCTGAGACCACTACAATACAAACATCTGGCTGGTCTAGTTTTAAATTACAGTACATCTTGAATCCCATCTTTGTGGTAGTCTGAGACTTTTGCACCCTATTGTATTAATGTTTCATAAGTTTATATTGCATATTGTTGTAACAGATAGTCTTGAGTTCTTTGATTTTTATTGTATTCGTCCAAAACTCTTGCTGCCTAAAGAATTCATGCACTTTCAACATCATCGCTCTTTGAAGCATCTCTATTTGGAGTGTTTTCACGTTTCTTCCCCTCAACCTGGGCTCTAACAACAGCTATACTGGTGTTTTTGCTCCAATTAATGATTCATAGGTTTAAATAATTGATGTTTTTTGGGCATTGAGATACACGGCACATTAGCCCTCCGTCATGCTGATATCTTCATTCAAACACCACCTGCTCAGGATGCATCATTTTAGTCTGTGTTTTCCAGTATATGTACAGTGTGAACAGTCATCTAAAGGTGTTCACATACAGTACGTCAACACTTTAGGGTCTCATATAGCCCTTAAATAATATATATCAATTACGTAATGCAGTATTGTCTTCATAATGATCCCTGATAATAGGTAAAGACCATCCAGTAGATATTTGTGACATGATTAATGGCTAGTCTAGACCATAATTAACTTCATTTATTTATCATTCTAACACATGGGACTTTAATGAACAACTTGTATTATGCTCGAAGGAATCAGAGGTCCAGATGGTGATGTCTGCTGGATTTTGTATCTCTAAACTGATGACTCGTCTTAACTGTGTGAGTGACACTGAAGGGTGTTTCACATCTTCCCCTGCCCTTGCTTGCAAAGGAACAGAAGTGCAGTTCTCAAGGTGCCTGAACGGTATACATGAAAGACCACGCACCCCTGCTGTCTTAAGTGCAGATAAAACGAGAGTAGAGGCATGAATGCTAATCTTAACCAATTGACGGGCATTGCTTTAGCTGTATTTGCTAACTCAGACATACTATTAAGCAGTTTCAGGGCTCTCAGACACCCAACAGATACGTGCGGTCACCTTTTTGTAGCATCTCTAGGCACTTTTATCCCTGATGATGTCACCTTTTGGGGTCATCTTCAGTGACCCGTGGTGTCACCAGCTGATGTTATCTGCTACAGCGCCTTCTGATCCCTGCAGATGACCTTTCCCTCCTTGGTGAATATGGATTAGAACTTTGAATTAGAGTGAAAAAGGATAGAATAGAATGGAATGGCATTGAATGAAATGGAATGGGATTAAATGGAAAAGAAACCCTTTGATGGTTAATGGTTCTGTTTAGTATTGATTCATTACCAGTAGTAGGTGATGTTTTGTGAACATAGTAAACATGGTTTGTTTTATAGCTTTTACCTTTCAAACAATAATATAGTAGTATATTTTTGTTGTTGTTATTATTAGTAGTTGTTGTGATTATTTATTTATTTTATTTTTAAATATTGATTTCTTAATATATTGATCAATCATCTCAATCATGAATCATCAATCATGTCTGGAGCCTCTTAAACTCTTTCCTCTCCAGCGTTTTCAAAAGAAGTTGCCAGTCAGCCAGCGCCAGCATTTTTGAACAGAACGTACATGGCCCCCAGAATATTTTGTTGCATGAATATTTGAACATGCAATATATCAAAAGAATAGAGCTGCTGCTAAAAAAAAAAACTTTTATTCTAACTTCATGCATTCTTTTTTTTATCAACACTTGAATGTGGGTGAGTTTCATTAAAAAGCAACAATTTGAACAATAAGCTGAGAAAATCGTGTTTTTTGTTTGTTTGTTTTTTTAAAGACTACAACATGCATAAGCAATACTTTTATCGCTTGTTTCGGCTTCTTTTTTGCCTGTTTTGATCCGGAGATTCTGTTCTCTTTCAGAAGATGTGTAATAGCATACAATTACGTCAATGGTGGGGGAAGCGGTGTCTCATAAATGATGGAAAATTCTGTCAATGGCGAGGAAAGGGAGTTTGTAAGTACCTTCCAGAATTCAATATCTCCAGGCACACGTTGTGGAGGATTGTTGAGGGATGTATTTGGAAGAGAGAAACTCCTGTTGGGGCAAAGTTGGCTCAGATTCTTTCCAAACCCACTGAGTGAAATTAAAGCTCTGCAAATCGGATTATTGCTTCCCAAGAGAGCAGTCTCGCAGCTAGTGGAGAACTGCCTCTATGGTATACTGTTATCACTGTGTGTCTCTCTCTTTTACTCTCTCTGTGAATCTGGAAACTAATTTGAGGACAATCAATAGAGGTCTGTGTCTCTTCCTGTTTCTTTTGCATATTTACTGGACCATTGTCTTTCAACATAAATCTAATTTATCAAACACTGACATGTGTGGGTAAATACAGCAGGACCATAATCACCATAGAGTATGAGTTGCAGATGTCCCCCTGCAATATTCAGAATACTGGTCATCCAATGAGGGTTTTTCAGTAGTTTATTTCTTGCCCCTGTCCAGGATATGTGGCTTCATGTATACAGTGGTCAACCGATACTATAGTTTAAAATGTCATTGTTGATATTGAGAGCAGGGTGGCTGATGGCCAAAATATTGTCTATTATAATGCAATTGATGACAGAATAACCCAACCAGTTTGTCTAGCGCCATTTCAATGCTTATGACAAACTGTTCTGTGGGATATACGATTTTCGGATCCAACTTGAGCAAGTCCTGATCCTTTTTTTTAAATGGATGGTTGTTTTGCTTTCTGTCGTTTTGCTTTGTTTTCCAACGTGATTCATGAACACATTGAAAGTTCATTACAACTACCACTAGGGAGGCAAATTGCAGCCAAAGGTTGCAGGCAGATAAAAGGTGGCCAAATCTGGTACACAAAGCGATACAGTCACAGCCAAGAAGATATTCAATGATTAATAAACACTAATGAGTGGTGATGTTTTGGACCAATGGTATTTCACATTCGGCAAGGCTGAACCACACAGCAGACATAAAAACCAAGTCACCAATTGCAGCTGGTTAAAACTCTGATTTACATAAAATACATTATTTTTTCTGTTATTGCAATATTGCATCATGTCTGGATTGGACACAGTGTTCACAAAATGGTTGAAATCCCTTTAGACAACAATAATTCATACTTGACTGAAAATATTAAAAACAGAAAGCATTCATTCTCCATTCACAAGTCAGATCTCTATTCTTGAAATACTGCATACTCTCTAATGACTGTGAAAAAAACAACATCAATCAATCAATAAATTAGGGTTACCTGAATGTGAGATGTAGTTGCAGTTGTTTAGTTGGTGGTCATTTAATGCCTTGTGATAAATACCCAGTTAACACAGTCACAGCACCTTCTACGCATCATCTTTTAATGAATATCCAACAGATACTCATTATTATTCATGAGCTAGAGTAGGTGTAGTCATGTGCACTGAGCTCTAGATAGATAGAGAGAGAGAGAGGAACCTAGAGAGAGATGGACGAGTGAGAAAAGGGGGGTGTGTCTCTATGAAGAGGGGTTTAGTACAGCGTGTGTGGATGACTGCTAGTCAGCTAGTGTGGATGAGAGAGACACAAGGAGATCGAGGGGGTACGATGCATGCACACACACAGTCATTCACAAGGAATTCTGCTACATCAGGCAGCCTGGTCATTGCGTGATTTTTACACAAAGAAGAACGGGTGAAAGGTACCCACTGATGAAAGACGTTACTCAACATTTGAGGGAAATCCCCAGGGTGCCTGTTTGCGTGCACTACTGCCAGAGATCTGTTGGGGGACCAGCGACGGCGAGATGGGCTGTAACTTGTGCACACTGCAGAAGAGAGAGGAGCACTACAAGCTGCTTTACGAGATTGCCCAGGTAAGTCGACTTGTTTAACCTACTCTGGAATATCCTGAGACCCTTGTGAAGTTGAGTTATAAGATCAGATGGGATTTTCATGGTTTATAACACAAGTTTTCACCTTCTCTAGACATTTCTTTACAATCTTTTCTTTGAAACTCATTCAGATTCAGAATTGATCCTTTACAGTATTTATTTAGACTCATTTATCCAAAGCAACTTGAGAATAACACATGTAGGACCAGTTGTTTCAAGGGACAGGACACTACAAGTACTCCTACAAGTATTGGATCGGGAGACATTTTGTTTTAAAGATTTATTATTGGCCTTTTTGCCCTAATTTGATAACAACAATCAGGGAGTGGATAGAAAGCGAAGTGGAAGAGATTGAGGTGGGCGGGAATGAAAAGGACCACAAGTTGGGATTCAAACTCTGGTTGCCCAAAGCTACATGTCGGAATGCTTGCCCATGAGTCTTCAACCTCTCAGTTTTAAAAGTGTCTTCTAAGACATTTAGTTTGATTCTAGTAGTTGTCCCATTTTATGGATCTGCACAGTCTTGTGGGAAGAGTTCTTTAGGAGAACTCTTTGTGATGAATCCCCAAGACTTACCTGGAAGCATTTTTCAGGGATCAAAGCTAGTTTTGCAGCACACACTCTTTACAACTGTGCTAGTATTATTGTTAATTTGGGTACAACTGTTGTACAAGATGCTCGCAGGTAGGAGGATGAGAATTTGGGATTGCACACACTGGTGAAACTTGTCTTTACGCTATGTATCTGCAAGTGAGAGCTGCAAGAAGGAAGCAAGCCTGGATAAGGTGCGATTTCCAGAATTGGATAAAGACCATTTCAAATGGTTGCAGAAGGAACATTGATCATGATATATCATATTAATGTAGCTTATTATATCACTGAATACTATCACTATATTTCCAAACCTTTAGTTGGCACCCATTGGACCTCCGCAATAGATTACGCAATAGCACAATGTTCAATGCTATAATGGAAAAACGTTTTGCTTTTTTGGTCATCACTAATGTTCAAGGTTGATGCTAGTCTGAGACTGGCTCAACCCCTGGCTCCGCTCCTCTCTGAGTTGAAAATTACCCATGTTCCAGTGTTGCACAGGAGGTCAAAGTCCCTGCTCCTTCCCGAGCATCAAGCGTGCAAAATAATATTTTCATGATACTCTTATCGCCGCCTCATTAAGCTGTTGTACAAAATGTCTTTGGTCCCTAATTAGATATTTAAACGTGCCTTTTGTCTGTTTGGATGCCAATCTGGGAGATTATCCCTATCGGTGGCTGAACTGAGGTAAAATAAGTTTGATCTCTGCTGGTTCAAAACAGTGGGCTTGTGTTTAGAGTGACTTGCATAGACAGCTTCTTGCTGTCAGCAGTGCAGTATTGCCTATGATTACGAATTTTGTACACATGCTTGCTCTTTTGTGGCACTATAGAGTGAAGAGGGGCTGGCATCGTTTTTCTAGTGGCGTGCTGCCGCTTTGACACCCTAGACATTGTGTGTATGCGTTTGGCGGGTTACGGTTCGCTTTTTTTCTTGACATGAGATGACTTTTTATATGTCCCTTTGGTGTTTTAGCAGCCGAATGCAACTCTCGATAGAAGAACACCAGAAAGGGAAGAGAAAGAAATAGTGCAATGTCTCCAGGAAGGATGAAGGTACTAAGGAAGGTTGAAAGGAAAAGGAAATCTGGATCTACTCTCCGTGGAGTAAATTCCCAAGCTGAAACGAAAGTGTGTCAAGGAAGTGTTGCCTCAGATGTTTCCTTTTCTGGTATTCAGCAATTTAAATTTTTGAGCTTTTATGTTCGCAAGAAGAAATCAAAGAAGATGTTGCACCGTGTTACTCTTGAAGTCACAACAACAAGCGGACATGAATAAACACAAACACACGCCTACTGCAATTTCACGCCCCTTGACAATTTTGACACTATTCTTGGCAGCACAGCCTCTTTAGCCCCGGTGGTCTGTAAGATTTATGAGTTTAGTGTGAGTGTTCGCCCCTCAACGGGCTCACCATGGAAATGTATTCTTCTTTCTTTGTTAGCCACATTACAATGACATCCCGTACTCTCTCTCTCCCTCACTCTTTCTTACTCTCGGTCTCAGAGGACTTAGCTGTGTGTTTGTGTTCCATCAGCAAGATCAGGTTTTGGATTGTAAGATCTGAGCTATTTCGTCTTAATTTGGCTGACTGGCAAAATCTCTGTGATTGGCTGCTGTTTATCCATCATGATGAAAAATATGATGTCATTTAAAGTCTTATTATAGATGACATGATTTGTCGGTGACATCAACACTAAATTATATTAGGTAACCTTTCGAAATGACAGCTTTTGGGGGGGAAAAGTGTTATTTTCTGCAGTGCTGTAAAAAACAAGACTCCACATACCCATGCGACAGTTTGGTATAGGTTACATTATGGTGGATTTTTGTGTGGAACTATGGAACTGTGGGAAAGCTGCTTGTGATGAGCTTTGATTCATTATGTGACTCTCTTCACCACTGAGATTGGTGGTTGTTAGTGTATTAATAGTACAAAACAGACATTAGTACTTCAATAGATCAGTAAATTAACATTAAATCAGATAAAAAATAAACATTTTGACTGTAAATTTAAGTTAAGTCTGTAAAACCTAAAATGTTGCTACCTTATTTTTTACGGTAAATTTCTGGCAAACACAGCTGCCAGTTTTTTACTGTAAATTTACCGGATTTTTTTTACAGTGCAGCAGCAAAAAAAATTTAAATAAATGAATATATTTTAAACTATTTTATTATATAACACTATAAATGGTCTTACTCAATTTAATGAGTTTTCAGAGTTTCAGCATTTTCCTCATCAGCATTAAAGGTCCAGTGTGTGATTTTTAGCGACATCTAGCGGTTCGGTTGCGAGTTTACACTAAGGGCTCAGCCCACCGCTCACCCCTCCCTTTCGAAGAAGCTACGGTGGCTAAAACGGGACAAACATCGTCGTCTGAGACAGCAGAGAATAGCCAGCGTAAACCAAGTTTCTGTACCACAGGCCATTATAAACCACATCATGGATAAAGTTTCAGGTGAGGATCAAGGGTCTTAATACATAATATAATAATACTAATCAGCTGATTATCTCACGAACGTAACCAGCACATTCTCCCCACATAGCAAATCCATAAAACAGCGAGGGAGAATAACCACATGAAACTATGCAACTATATATTTTTTCTAACAGGGTAGTAAAAGTTTAGTTGGCTAATATGAGCTGTTACTGTGGCTGAGCTGGTTAAAGCGTAAAGCCTTGTTTAAACTCGACGCGTCCGCATGAGCCCAAAGGTGCGTGCGGCAAAAATGACGTGATTGTAACAGCGCGCGCGCCTCCGCATCCCCTAGACACACTTACTACACACACAATAGGCTTTTTTTCTCTAATTTTGGAAACTTGATCGACTTAAAATGCTTCCAAGATTGACGGGTTGGTGATTCCTGTAGCTAACTGTTTTACGGTCAATGGCAAGAGTAGCCAACTAATCAGCTGTCTCACGAACTTAACCAGCACATTTATCCCCACATAGCAAAGCCATAACACAGCGAGGGATAAGAATTAAGTTACATGAAACAATCCAACTACATATTTACACCACTGACAAGGGAAAAGTCACTACTCACGGTGTTTATGACTAGCTTCTTCTAGCTTCCTGCGGCTTCTCTTTCAAGGTAGTGACGAAACGCGCTCTGTAACGTTGTTTGTTCGCGTTCGGCTACTGTAGAAACATGACGTCACAATATGGCGACCTTCATAGAAGGGGATTCCCACGCCTATGTAGATAGGCATAGTTATGGACATAGAACACATAGTTATGGATGTCATATTGCATTTCTGTTAATAAATACTCAAAAATGTTACACACTGCACCTTTAAATCCAAAATAGTCAAAAAAAGTGCAATAAACTTAATGTTGTTAACAAATGGTAACTTTGGTTTTACTTAAAGATTTTTTCTCATGCTAAGAATTGATCTACTGCTGGGCTAAATTGGCAAGGTGCAAAAGTCAGTCAACTATTAAAATCAAAACTGGATTGTTAATGTATTTATTTCCTCAGTAATCTCTAAAACTCTAAATTCAGCTGAAATGCTGAGGCTCATGCGAGCAGTGCATTTTACGGCCATGGTCAGGAGCCCGTATAGGGACAGATGCTCTGTGTAATTTCCAGTCTGTAGATCAGCATGGGAGGAGACACACCTCCCACTCACTCACTCACTCACTCACTCACTCACTCACTCACTCACTCACTCACTCACTCACTCACTCACTCACTCACTCACTCACTCACTCACTCACTCAGTCATTCACTCACTCACTCACTCTCACTCACACATTCGTTTTTAGCATCTAATCCAACAGATTGAGAGATATAATGAAAAATAGAAAATATTTACAAGAAGAAATCACATCCTTAGCTTTAATTTGCATGGGCCAAATTGAGATTTATTTGTAATTGACCTTGTTCTAATAGATCTGTTCCAAACTCTCGATTAAATTAAAATTTGATTTTTAATTTACATGGAAAAGCTGGCACTAGTTTACCCCTGTACCCCCTGGCCATCAAGGGTCAGATGAAGTGTCGGTCCCGAGAGCGCTAACAGCCATATGGATCTGTGCGAGTGAATTGGGCAGTCAGTGTATCACAGCCTTCAAGTTTAATGGGTCTCCAGATGGAGGACAACCTTTAGAGAGACTTGCCAAAAGGAACTGGCTTTTGTGAAGAGTGTTAGATTGAGTTTCGAGTGTGTATGTGTGTGAGGATGCTTCACACTCCTGCCTGAACCGAGGTCTCTCTTATTGGCATCGTCACTGTTGGGCCACGTCCTCTGTCTCTCTCTCTCAGAACACTCTCATCCATCTTCCTGTCCCGGAGCCTTTCTCTGAATGATGCTCCTTGCTGATGAAACGCGATGGGTGTGGAGCGAAAGAAGGCAAAGACAGAGAAACATGTAGTTTTGATTGA